AGCCAGATCACATCCACACCCAAGTCCTTGACATAGTCTAAGGTGGAGATTATACCTGGAATGTCACCCACACCGTCACCGTTGGAATCTTTGTAGGAGGCGGGCCAGATTTGGTAAACAGTGGCATCTTTCCACCAGGTTTGCGTAACTGTCATTTTACTTGTGTTAGAAACAGCGCTGTAAAGTAGGTGCTGGATCTAGGAACTGCTTTAATTTATAGCACAGTTCTATTGCGGGAGCGGAGTACTCGGACTTGGTGCTTCTTTCACCGGAAAGAGAAGGGACGATTAGTAATCTTTCTCTGGGGAGGTGTCCCAAAAGAGTAATGGTGTTGGAATCTCAGCATTCCCGTGACTGATAGTCATTCAACTGGAACTGTTGCAGGGGTAATTTCTTGGTGGGCTTAGAGCTACATGCATGTATCCTACATAGAGTACCGCTGTGCTGATGCTACAGGGTTACATGTGGGGAATATGTGAAGAAATTCATGCTGTATCTTTCCTAATCGGGAGATGAGCCTCGCGCAATGCCCCGTACGGAAACTTGCACCAAACTTTATTTATTAATCATCCGAAAGTATGCAACGTGTGAATAACGGCGGGAGAGAAGATCACCGATGACGGGTTAAGCTGGCTTACTTTGAGTAGATGCCAAAATTACCGTGGCACTTCATCTGGGCAACAGGAAGTGGGGTGGCATGATAAACGGCACGTGTCTCCTAGTACAGCGGCCAGCTCGCTACCTTCTACCGTATTTACATTAGTTCAGGAGAGAGGTTACATATAAATAATTGGAGAAACGTACTGAATAAGCAAGAGGCAAGAGAAAACAGAGGCAACCTACTTCTGAAGGTATATTCTACCTTCATACGGGGATAACCTTGATCCATCGGCACTCGCATTACTCGAAATTAACAACTCAAGATTACCGTCAACTAGCGGCTCAAAAGCCAACTCTTTGTCGCTAAAATTCAACACGATGTAAGCTTTCTTGTTGCCAAGTGTCTTAGTAAAGGTAAAAATGTCGAGATTTTCCTGGTCATAGATCTTAAAATCCCCGTAAATGAGCACATCCTTGTGGGTTTTTCTAAGCTTCAATGCGTTCTTATAAAAAGACAAGATCGAGTTTGGATCGTTGACCTGGGATTTGACATTGATCTCCTTGTAGTTGTCATTTACCTTCATCCATGGCTTTCCAGTGCTAAACCCTGCATTCGCAGAGTCGTCCCACTGCACAGGAGTTCTGGCATGGTCTCTGGCAAGCAACGCCAAGTCGTCCATCACTGCCTGCATTTCAATCTTATTGTTGCCGCACTTCTTTTGGAAGTCCTTGTAGTAGTTGGTGGATTCAATATCCTGGTAGTCAGAGATGTCCCACTCGCTGCTGAAATTTGTCATACCAATCTCCTGGCCTTGGTAGATGAACAAAGTCCCGGTCAAAGCAATTTGCAAAAGAGCTAGCAATTTTCCCGATTGCGTATGGTACTCATTTGAAGCATTGGCGAATCTGGAAATGCAACGAGGCTGATCGTGGTTTTCAATAAAGACAGTGGACCAGGCATCGGTTCCTTGGACAAATTCACAGGTGTTCTTCACCGCAGTTTTGAAAGCAGTCAAGTTGAAGCTCTCGTATTTATATCTATAATCCTTCGAAACCCCCAAAAGAAGTACATCGAATAGGAAAATCATGTTCATTTCCTTCTCCTTCGCACTTACATACTTGAGAGAATTTTCGCGGTCGCAGTGCCAGAGTTCACCCACGGTCATGGCATCGTAGTTGCTAGTAACCTTGGAAAACATCTCCTTGTGGAACTCGTGGATTCTTGGACCATTATTGGTGAGCATGTGGCACGGCTGAAACTCATCATCGGGGTGCACAACAGGAGCGTCGGCAATTGGATACACCTTGGAATACAAGCCAGCAGTATCAATGCGGAAGCCATCGCAGCCCTTGTCTAACCAAAACTTTACCGCTGATTTGTAAATTGCCTCTCTGGTTTCCGGGTTCTCCCAGTTCAAGTCTGGTTGAGATTTGGCGAAAAGATGCAAGTAATATTCATCCGTCAACTCGTCGTATTCCCAGGCTGATCCAGAGAAGTTACTGATCCAGTTAGTTGGAGGTTGTCTATTCCCGTTCTCATCGATTCTTGGAGGTCTCCAGATGTACCAGTCTCTCTTAGGATTGGTCTTGGATGATCTGGATTCTTTGAACCA